CAAGTATCTTTCATATGTTACATCCTTGTAAGGCCCATCCTTGCATTAGCATAATATTTTCCTTGGAAGAAGCATTTATATTTTGGCAGTTAAAAGAATATTATAACCCAAAGGTTTACTGTAGACATTTATATCTGATTTTTAAAATGCCTATATCTGAGAACAATAATTGCAAGAAAAAGAAATGCAGAGTATAAATGTAATTATAACATTTCCCTTCTGCTTTCTCTTCTGAGCATTAAAATAGTTTCATCCCTTACATATGCATCAATGCAAGGTAGGTTCACAGCTTGGATGAAAAGGCCCCCTTCCAGTAGGAAAACTTGCTCCTACTGTAGAGTAACTGTATGACACATACCTCAAATCCAAGGAACTTATTTTGCATAGGCTCTTGTGTAAGATGCTACACAGGATCTTTTCATATTCTTAATGATCCACTGCAGTATAGATGCTGAAGCTGGTTCCTTCCTTTTTGTCATGTTTCTCATACTGTTACATGAACTCTGATATACTGCTTTGCTGCACTGTAAAAGGTCTTGCAAACCAAACAGTAATAAACCCAAGTAATCGAAGTAGGGCCACATTCAGTGAACACTAGAAGGATTTACAAGATCCATACAAGAAGCTAGATTTTACTTCTACTGGCGACCCAGAACTACTTTGGCCAAGACCACTTTGTCTTTGACAGAGGTGGACTCCAGATGGGTGAGCCAAAGTAGCCCCCAAGATGAGCTCTATCTTACCTACAGGTTCTACAGCACTAAAGGACATGCCTTGGGTCACAGCAATCACTATAAAGTACCCTGAGCATTTCTCTCAAATATATGTCACCAGAAATGGACAAAACTCTGCTTAGTAATTCACATCCTTCCAAGAAAAACACTCTGTGAGTTAATGTGCAAGTAATGCCAGGACAGGAAGAGAAAGGAAAAGGTTTTCTGGAGAGAAGAAGAAACATGAGTTTATTATACTGGTTGCCCATCTGAACACCACAATTTACTGGGATGTCCTGTTTCACATTATCTTAGTCCATCTCAGTTTTTCACTCTATACATTTTGGGATCTTGAACATACAAGGAAACAATGCATAGCTTTGTTTGTTTACTGACCATTCTTACAAATGAAATTAAGTAATGGAACAGTTTAATGATTTAAAGCTTAGTCCCTGGACTCACAAAAGTGTGAAAGCCTCACTTGACTAGAGGTGCATTCCAATGGGTCGCAGGCTTGACACTCATACGCCCCAAAACTCAGAGGCTGACAAAACTCAGAGGCTGACAAAACTCACGAGTGCACATGTCTGTTTACTAATTTATACCAGTTTATTAAACAGACAGCCAGATTCACATGTAACAATTTTATTGGTTCTATGATATTGTATCATGTTTGTGGCTTGTAAATATCCTTGGGATTTTTTAAAAATGAAAAGTAGCATTAAGATCTTCTGAAATAAACAATAACTGATTTTTTTAAAAAAAGTCTTGTTTCCATGAACAAGCCAGAGTCCTGGTGCATCCTGCCCAATTGATTGCACTAAAAGTGTGAGTGGATAAACCTTTCATCAGTGATTTGGTTAGAATTATGTGCTAACTGGAAACTGTGTCTTGTCTCTCCCCCAGCAAGCAGAGCAGTTAGCCATGGTTTGTTCTTGGGTTCTTTCCCTGGCTTTTCAAGCAAGAAACAAGCCAGAATTTCTGCTTGACACATAATTCTAATTAAATCACAGCTGAATGGTCCATGGGTTATTAAGTCACTTTGACCTACAGTGGAAAAGATCAGGCAGCATGTACTAGCACTAAGCATTGTACATGATAACCAAGAATTTTAAAAATTCTGGATTATTGATAGCTGCAAACTAGACCAAAGTAAAAAGGACTATTTGCAACCAAGAGAAAGGACTAGAAATCTCTCAGTACTAACATTTACACTTGTAAGTAATGAAATAAATCTAATAATAAGATTAATTTCCACCCAATTTCTTTCAAGCATTATTCAGACCTGAACTTGACCGTGGATAATGTCTTTCAAGCAACTTCTACCTTACAGCAAACATAAAAAACAAAATGTTGAAATATTTTCTGCATATTTCTGATGAACATGTCAACCAAAGCATGGATATTATTTGTCAGACCAAACAGCTAATTTTTAATATGTATCATTAGCAAATCAGTTACTGATAGTTCTACAAATCTGATTTACTGATACTGATTTACTGAGCTACAACTAATCTTCCCCAAATTTTCACAGGTGATATATTGCTCAGGAAGAAATCATATTAAATTATCCTGTTACTCCTTGAACATCTCATACACAGACATACACTTACTCTTTCTAGACTACATTGGGTTTTAAGATCCTAGGGAAGATACAGCATTCCACTTCCTAGAAACATTTTTACAGTTTTCAGATATAAGAAAATAGTCAATTTCTGGAACTTTTGCAGAAAATGTGATCAGCATTACATGCACAACTATTAGAAATGTAAGAGCGTACACTGTTCATTTTTGCAAAGGCAAACTATACAGACTGTATCCAGTACCGCTGCTGTACTCCCACTCATTCCATTGTACAAGCAGAAGCCACCACTTGTGCCAACAGAAAGCTACTGGGTCAAAACACATCTCCATGTGGGAATGCAAATTCCATTTGATTCCAGATCAGGATAGCAAAGCACAACTTCCTTTTGCAGGCTCTGATGCCCTCCCCTGTTCCAAAAACAAGCTTTTCCACTCATTTCTGGTTGATTTTTTAAATTGCTTGTTCCCAATCCCACTTACATATGGGCAGTCTTAGATACTGCCTGCTATGTTTCAAAGAAGCTATATGTAGCATAATCTTAAGCATATTTACATAGAATTAGGGCACACTCAGTACAATGGATCAATCTCAAGGAAACACATGTATGACTGCAGCCTATGTCAGGTGTCTTTACACAGCAAGAGACCTTGACAGAAATGGTTTCTACTTAGACTGCTGTTTCATTCAGCCAGGACAAATGGCACAGTATATGTGGCTCTCTGCTATAATATATTTCTAAGGTAAAATTCTAGTTATAACAGGACTATTGTTAGGTTGAAGCTTTGACAAAATTCCCCCTTGTGATGCGGTGATAAAGAGCAGCATAGTTCACTCTGCAAGTACCTGTAAGACCAGGATCCAACCTGTGAGCATTTACAAGGATTGGGGCCTGTGCTATCATGTGGCATAGCTGGGAGCCCTGAAAGTCTCTATAAAAAGCTAACCTGTACTGCTCAGTTTTGCCATAGTAACATGTGTCTGTGAAGGTTACATTGTCTTCCCAATCCTGCTTCCAGTCTTGCCTTATGCTTGACTACTTGCCTTGCCTTCACTGCTGGTTCTGTCACACCTTGTCCATATCTCATCTTTTCCTGTTCCGGCTCCACTGCATCAGTAGCAAGATTGCCATTCACTTCCATCACCCAATCCAGGTGCTTCAACCATAGATACCTGCTGCCTACATCAAAGATCTGACAACAGTTTTCCCACATTCTGCAATGAGGTCATCCCACTATTAAGAGCCAAAAATCACAACTTTTTGAAACAGACAATCCAAAGTAATCCACTTTGCCTACCATGGGCAGCTGAACGCTTTTGCATACGCATAACAGCATGTTCCACACGTGAAACATACATTGTACAAAGTTACATAGATTGCAGAAATGGACCTATTGCTAGATTACAAATGAGCAAGTGAGCAATTAGTCAGTAACAGAAGATTATCTACTTCCATTCACAGATAGAAACATCTATTTTTATATGATGTCTATCCTAATTTCTACATCAAAGACCTCTCATGGCACTACTATGAATCTTAATATGCAAGAGATATTTAACCTCTCCCACCAATGGAATGGCTTCCATTAACAGGACCACAATATCCCACCTTTCCTAAACATGCCCCTACCTTAAATACTGCTCTTGAGGGTTGTGTGGAATCCTCTGAAGAAAATTTTAGAGGACCACAGTGGTTGTAAGTGGAAGAAATTGGGAGTGTTGTTGCACAAGCAATGAACAATTGTATGCAAAATCGTAAAGACAAACAAACAACAAAAAGGCAAAAGCTAAATTATGATGAAGGACAAGTACAGAGGAACTACTACACTTCAAATAAAGACATCAGGCACCCAATAAAGATCTATCTATCTTTGATGCTTTCGGAAACTTAAGAGCATGGAACCTGCGTGGGATGGTGTAACTTGGTGTCCTGGAACAGCAGAAAGTTGGACCTTCATGACCCCTTCCAACTCTACTAGTCTATGAACCTGTTCTTTGTAGCATTATTGGCAAGGAGGTATGTTTGGATCAGAGCATAAAAACACAGAGTGCGTGTTGCTTGCAATTTCAGAAGATAAAGTCTGATGGCACATGATACAGTAACTTTGTTTAACCTAAGGAAGTGTAGGCATCACCTACACATTCCGTATACATATGTTAACCTTGAATTCAGTGTAAGAACATTGGCATATAAATATATTAAAATATTAGCACAGCATGCATAACAACTAGTGTATTCACACAAATGTATTACTTATTTAGGGAACATCTATTCCATAAATATGCAATATATTTATTTGCTCTCAATTTTTTAAAAAAGTCTACATTAGACCAACATGTGAACTTTTCATACCACAGGCCACTTAATTCACTTTTGTTTGATTATTCTATACCTATTGTAGCTCACTGAGAATGAAGCCACACAACATAAAGCTTGTGAATTCTTTTAGGAGGCTCTGTGGTGCATCTTTTCACCCTTTCAATACATTTTTCATTAAGTTCTATCGAAAGGTTCTGGGCTGTCAAAAGTCCAGATAGGTTTGCTTGTACAGTGGTTTTAAGAAATTACAGACTTGGTTATTAACAAGAATCATAGCCAAACTTATGCTTTATATGGTGTCGTAACATATAATTTCATAAAAGGTTATAAACCGCAAATGCTTCCACAGGATATTTATTTTCACAAAGACTGAAATAGTTCTTGCCTGTAACATCAGCTGCCATCAAACCTTCTGCTCTGATGACCTTCACCTGGAGAAATCCTACATCCTTTATGTTATGAAACATCCGTACTAGACTCTAGAACACACATACAAAATTAACGTTAGAATGAGGCTATAAATAGAGGAAAAACAGGCAAAGACTATTTCACTTCCTCCCATCCCAGTTTTTCAAAGGTGCATTTGATTATTGTTAAATTAGATGTTTTCATTGTCTATCCATTATGAATCACATTTTCAACATATCCTAATCTTCAATCAGTGTAAAGAATACCTATTTCCATTCCCAGAATTGGATTTTAAGAGTGTTATTCTATGCATGTTTAGATAGAAAAAGGTCCTGCAACTCCTAACATCACCAGCCAGCACCCTAAGAAGTCTAAATTGCATCTTTCTGCTTCATGTTGGTACACTATTTTCCGAATATATACATCTTTAACTGGAATAAAATAATGCACCAAAGTGATACTGAAAGAGTATACCCAGGTCATAATGCTTCAAAATATCTTTCTGAATAGCATACATCAGAAATACACCTCATTCTTGAGATGTAGTTTCATAACCTATATTTAAATTGCAAGTACATATTGAAAAATTTTAGGAATATACTGAACAAGCCTATAACTCTCTACATCCATATAAGCATAAGTAGCTATTTTTCATATAACTTCATGATATCTTTACAAAAATATCAACAATTCATTCTACTTATTTTGAACCTAAATTGCATACAAGCGAAACAAGGGCCATTAACCAAGATAATTAAATTTAAAGAAAATATTTTCCTTTATGCAGTGTTGATGCTTGATGGATAATTATTAGTAACATATTGCCCTGGACAAATGGAATATTTTCTGTTTGAAACATGAACCACTAAAGTGTTAAACTAATGTTTTATGAACAGCAAGCTACAAAATAAATCCCATATGATGCATATTGTATACAAAGATCTGACCTTGGTATACTGAGCTATGGAGATTCAGTTTTACAGTATATCAGTTTTCAAATATATAAATATATATATCTATAGTGTTTTAAGCCATTTATCATTAAGCACAATATAAAATAAACTTTCAATTTCTTAATATTTACCCATCAGAAATTTGTATAATCACATGATTAAGCCTACACAAAGTAATTTTACACTGTTGAGATTACTGAAAACTGCCTAGTTCTAGAAGATACATTATAAATAGTATTAGAATCAGATGCATGCCTGTAGGAGATCCCAATTTCCAAAAAGATTTGCTGGCTTTTTATCAAATCTACCTTAATTCAGATACTGCCTGTTTCATACACTATGTAAAACAACATGGGCAAGCATAAATAAGTTAAATATTAAATTTCTGGATTTTAAAACTATAGTTAGAATCACATTTCCTATGAAATAAAGCAAAAACACACACTGAATCTTTTTTCACATGCATACACATTCCATGCACACAAAAAGACATTACAGTATTTCACTCGTTACTATTTGTCAGGGCTATGTGGGGTAATTATAGTTTGAACTTTTAGATTCAGCTAGTCAGCTGATTTAGAGCAATTTACTGCACTTTCTGACAATCTGGGCCAGTGACATACTATAGAATATTATTGTAGGATTTTGTGAAAAGCAAATGACTTTAATACATTACTTTATAACATGCAACTTAAAGCAATGATTTATCAGCCAATTGTCAGCCTTCTTATTTATGATTATTGTTGAAGGCCTCAAAACCTGGATAGTATCGAAGTCCTGAAATTTCCATAGCAGAGAAATCTATGATTTGCTGAGAATCCTTTCAGCCCTCAATAGATGGGAAAAGATTGAAATGCTCTGGAGATGAGTCCTCTTTATTTTTTTAATGAAAGGCTGTATAATATATTTTCTGTATGGCTGCAGCAGCTGTCAGGGAGAGCATCTCAGTTCAGCTCTATTATGGGAGAACCAATACCCCATCCTATGGCATTGAGATACACTGAGGGGCCAGTACTGATTGACAGCTTGTCACCATGACGTCTTATTCCATCTCTGTTATGGAGAAAATTAATGTCACACCACCAGCCTTATGACTCGCTGTCATCTTAGAACTGCTCACCTTTTATCAATGCTCTAAATAACATTTCAAGCCCATCGTCTCACGGTGGACAATCCGGTCAAGGGACATTAAATCGGATGACTGTGAAATGTCATAATAAAAATGGAATGCTAACAACTTCTTCACTAAACTAGCTTCTCTGGTTTTTAAACTGTGACAAGGGGGAGCAGGGGTTCAGCATACCCGTTTTGAAAAGGTCATACAATCTCTCTCTTGGTCTGCTACCCATTATGGCCCTCCCCCTCCCCCTCCCCCCCCACAAAAGGAATTAATCTTTTCATACAACCGTGATAAAATAATGGTTCAAACATTAATGCCTGTTTAATCTGTAGAACTCTGATGCTCAGCTACAAATGGTTAAATCACAATAGGAGAGTCATTTTCCAAGACTATTTGATCTGATGGCAAGGTCAGCTTATTTACTGTTTCTGTCTCAAGGATAGGTGCAGAATGCATTTTTAATGAGAAAAGATTCTTTAGGAAAGCTTTTAAAAAATCTATTAAATACGACTAATAAAACGAATGCAGTAGATGTAGAGCAATCATTCACTATGCATTTCAAAAAGTATAGCAGCACAAATATAGAAGAAAGAGCAGGATGCAACATACTGAAATTATATGATAGAAATACAATACTCATTTTCTTTATCTTGTCATTTTATAACTATACATGGGTCATTTCAGCAGACGAAATAATTTAATTTGCAGGTAAACATTCCAATATCTCAAGTAGCCCCATAGATAAACCCATGCTTTTTCCATGACAGACTTTTTAAACACTATTATTTCCTATTGTTAATATTGTTTACACCAATTATACAATTGCGTGTGTGTGTCTGGAGGGGCAGGGGCAGAAATAGCACACGGTGCAGAAAAACTGTGATTTCCTAGACAGAAATTATCAAACTAGTCAGTATCACTTGCTTCACATTAACCCAATAACCCAGAAAAAATATGATTCTCTCTACTTGGTATCAAAATGTGTATCACTACATTTAATCCATAAGAAATGAATTATATCTATTAAGATCTAGTCTGACAGAGCAAACTGTCTTGGTTGATATCAAAACCTGAAATAATACTGGTAATTATTAGTTTTCATACATACTACATAATACCTTTGCTCTCAGTTGGTTTAGGAAATATACTGTTTAGCCTTGCTAAGTCACCTCTATTAAACTGTGTTTATGATAACACTATTGGTGTATGATTTGTACAAGCACTAGCAGACAGCTGATTTAGTTGAGATAGGTAGAATAAATTTGCTGAAGCGCACATCCTGCTAATCTGTTTGAAGAATATTGTACAGCATTAGTACTAGCACTTCATGTTATCAGCAGAGCCTGATAAGGTACATCTTTATTAAATTCGGTTATTGAAAGGATGTCAGCCAAGGAATAGGAATATTTTAAAATGAATTAAAGAGCCCTTTGTTAGTCAGAGCTTGGCTTAATGGGAGTGTCTAGAGAAGGCTTCTAAACATCTGGCACCACTGTACAATAAAAGCTTTGTAATTTTAGGTGAAAATAGCTTTTTCATTCTTTGTGTCTAGTAAGTCAGTTCGAGTATGTTCAGTATAACTAAATGCTGGAGCAAGAGCTCCCCTTGCTGTTGGTTTACTAAAACTACACAGTAGCATACACAATATGAGGATGCTGGGAAATAGAATAATTGATTTTCAAAATATTCGCTACAGAATTTTAAAATTTACTATCATTATTTATGGAAACAAGTCAAACCTCTATTCTTGTGCATCCAGGGGGAAATAAGTTGTCTTAATATTTAAACAGCGGCAATACTTCCATGTGTATTATTGGGTTCTTACACTACATTACTTGCTATTGGAAAAAATCAATAGAATAACTTGTTAATCATGACATTAATTTAATTGTTCATCTAAGAACAGAAATTACATAGTGACTGAAGTTGAAATATATTGAATAATGAGAGTTAATAACATAATATTTAGCACAATGCATTAGGGTTTTTTAAAACAGTCTGGGCATTAGTCATGGATATAAATCCAGCTAATATAAGGCTACAGTACTAAATCAACATTCTGAAATGTTTTCAATACTAATACCCTCAAGTTCCATTCATCACTGAATATTCTTATTTAGTATTTCAGTTTCTAATCCCATTCTATAAAAGCAAGAGAGAGGTACTACATACATATCTCTTTAGTAATTCTTCCTGTTCCTTTGGGTCCTCCAAGGCATTGATTGAGAGGTCAGAGATGCTGACTGTAGCTGAGGCAGTCAAGGTGACCAGCAACACCAGATAGCCTTCCCCTTCCTCCAGAGGCAACTGCAGTTTATGAGTCTGCTCTTTGCTAAGGGTTGACAAGTCAACCTGACACCTAGAAACAAATGGTTTTGATTAGCATGTAGCTTTCTTCACAAGAGTTGTGTGGAATGACATGCACTCAGCTGTGTAAAGCCTAAATCAATGACGGTGGCCCTTCCTATCTTTAGACATTACTCGTTCTAGTTTCAGCAATTTTGCCATTGAGTTCATTTTATCACAGAAACCTGGCACAGCTATTTTTCATTCATTCATTCATTCATTCATTCATTCATTCATTCATTCATTCATTCATATAAGTATAGAACTATATGGCTGCAATTCAAGGTGAGGGTGCTTAGAAAGCACAATATTAGATTTGAAGTACATTGGCTTAAGTACAAGTCCTTAAGCCAAACACATATGGGGATGGAATGGAGGGCTGATTAATAAAAACCAACATAAAGTTCTGGAAATACAGTGAATATCCATTAACATGCTATTGATGAGCATTCTCTGTGACCTATTTTAAAACCAGTTGTGGATCCATCTAATAGTGCGGGGCAACCAAGGGTTTGGGAAGGGACAGATAGGAGAATTTCCCTATTAGTTTTTATCATTGATTAGACATAAGGGGTGATTCCCTTTAGTTAGGGAAACACCCACTCTCACAGTTGGAGGGCAAGTGGTAGCACTTCCTCAGTCACCTACTTTCCCCAAAATGGGGAAGGCATGGGATAGGCTAAGCCACCGGTCTGATGCAGGACATTTAAACTAACTGAAATGTGCACACAGATCACTCAAGCAAGGCTTATACATATACTAATGTATGGCCACACATCAACCCTTTCTACCTTACACTTTCTATGGGATGTTACATGTGCATGCATATCAAGGATCACTTCTGCAACCTGCTAAAAATAAAACATACAGATGTGAACCTATCCTAACTTTCTGCCGAAGTAGTAGTGGACCACATTTAATCTCTATAGACCCAAATGCCAACTCCCAAGTCACCAAATACCTTCAGTCTAATGCCAGCCTACAAGAGCTACAGAATATCATGAAGTATTCTCATTAGGATTTCATTAGGATCTAATGTGACACCCGAGAGCCTTGCTATTGTGTGTGTGAAGCAGCAGTGACTGGTGTCTCCAGTGTCAATGGGGCAGGAAATCTACTCCAAATTTCAGTTTGAACTTTTAGAGAAGTATCCATGATGCTGGGTTCTCATCCCAAAACACACTGAGCACCACAGATCACTCCTTTAATATTCTGACTGAAATGCTTGTGTGGATGATGCACTGCTGTTACTGGTGTGAACAGAAGAGAACATATTCCCTGCTCTTAGATATTATCAAAAAGCACTCAAAGCAGTTGGGGATTTACACTGTCAACAGACATTCTTAGCACACAAACTTCCTTCATCATGCATAACAACAGTGCAGGGAGCTGTCCGGAGATACTAGTAGTCTGCAAAAATACTACTTGCATGGGCCTGTCTCCCGTCTTCTGTAAATGGTTTTCCAACTTAAACTCAACTCAATGACAACACAACCTGGAACATGTGGAAGAACTACTGGTGCAGCAATAGCCAAGGCTCCTTTTGTAAGTCCTTGGGCATACATGTGGATAGACATAATTCATGTGTATGTCACCTATTTGCTATTATGTAATTCTGTGTGCTAAAAGTCTTGCTTGCTCTCAAAATATAGTAAAACTGTAACAGTGCAGGTGGTGTAAATACTGGAAAAGGAGGGATGACTAATCATAGCATAGGGCTCTATACGCTGTATGGGAGGATAAGTTGAACAATAATGATGCACTACTATTGTCCATATAGAAACACACTTCCATGCAAGTATAATTGACATGACATGGAACTAAACCCCCCGCAAAGGTATCATTTTACCAAATTGCCATTTTCTTCTGCACAGAGTTTCCATCTATAGGAATGGGTAGTGCTGACTCATTGAGGTAGAAAATAAGCCAGTCAGCAGTGATCCCTTGGCATTAAAAAATGAGCAAAAATCAATGTCATTCTGAAGATAAACATGAGTAGTTTCATACTAATAAATAACACTAAATCTTTTCATATTGGATTGCAAATAACACCACCTGAATAAAATTGCTCAACATGGGATTTACTTATCCTCTATGTTCACAGAAACAACTTGTTCACTGACAGCCTTCTTCCCAGGAAATATATTGCAGCTGTCAGCAGCCAATTTGGCCAGATTACTCTTATGTGTTAAAGGTGCAACAATCATGGGGATTTATTAGCTTATTATTGTAAAAGTGGCAGTGTCTGGATTGCCTTCAAAATCCAGGTGGTAGAAAATTAAATAATTACATGGAGATTAAGCAAGTTTCACCTTCTTTTGGCAATTTTACTTCAGTATTAGCAGATTCTGGGTGGCTGATTCAGTAGCCATTATTTACATGGACTTCCCAAAAGATGTGACAAGTCCATCACTTGTGCTTTTCAATTTATACATAAATGGTTTGCAATTAGAGGTGGCCAACTTTTCTGACAAGACTTTACCTTTTATTTATTGGTTTTATTTTAGTGCTGTAAAATACTGTAGGGTTTTTTTTT